CCGGTAGAACAAGAGTTGAGTAGAAAAGGAAAGGACAGACAGCTAAGAGGCCTACCCAAGGGTCCTATAAGAAAAGGAAGGCTTTCAACAGAAGTAAGAGTCCCAGTCCCCGCACAGAACAGACAGATAGACGAAGCCAGAATAGAAACTGTAGCAAGGAGGCGTAGAAAAAGATAGCCAGAACAGGCAGGGTTAGGCTAGCTAAATACCCACTTCTAAATGGCGCAAAATGAGACTGAATACTCCGCTAGAACATGGAAAGATACATTCCCTTTTCTTTTTTTGTCTTCTGTGCATGTGGAGAGTGGGGGAGCGAGGCCCATTACACAGTGGATGTGGGACCCGGCCCCTGGGTGCAAAATTTCCTCTGAAGCACACCACTCTCCAGATGTGAAAAACGCAAAAATGTGGCGTGCATCTGGCCATGTTCTAGCGCGAACTTCATTCTCATTCTGTACATTTCGAGAGTGGTGTGGCGATGATGCCCTTTGAAAATGTGACGGCTTTCAGGAGTCACCATGGGCCCTATCTGATGCAAAGCATTTTGATTGAATTCAATGTTTCTTCGGCTCCATCAGAGGAAGGTTTCCTCTTGTTGATCAGCAGCTACGAGCGTGTACTATTCAGCCACGTGCGCTGGGTGTAAGTGTGAGGTTCTACACCATAGGAAAGTGTGCAGATAAAAAAAAAAAAGAAAAGAAAAAAAGAAAGAAAGTGTGCAGTACTGTAGCAATGGCTGATGGCTGATGGCTGCTTTGGTTGCACGCCGTCGACTTTCTGGGAATACACTGGTGGTGTAAGGATACGATTTTTTTTATTTTTTTTTAATCTTAGGATTATTTTAAAGTGATGATTGAGGATAAGATTAAAGGTCAAGATAAAGGACGAGAGTGAGTTAGAGATTGATCAAGGACATGGTTGGGGGTTGGGGCGGGAAGGGGGAGGGTAGGTATATATATGGCGCTGGGGAAGTTTCCTATGATGATTCAGTAGATAGTTCACTCTGATGGCGGAGCCTTGTTGTTAATTGGCTGCGACCTTGAAGTGAAAAAAAAAAAAAAAAAAAAAAAGTGTGCAGAAAGCGTCAAATGATTGGTGATTGGTCACGGGAAGAGGGGTGCCGCAGTACCTCGAATGGCGGAGCCTTGTTGTTAATTGGCCGCGACCATAGGAACACCTACCATTTATCACTGACAAAGATATGCAGCGGGACGAAGAGGCCTCGATAGGCGTCATCTTCCGAAAAGCAACCTAGAAAAAAAACCTGGTCTTCGTATATCACGGGGTACAATGCAACTTTTTTTTTTTTTTTTTTTTTGGTGAGACAATGCAACATTTTACCAACTAGGGCTTCTTCTTTCGCAGTGCGGACTTCGTGTCTGTAACTGATCTGGAATGACGAAGCATAGGGCGTCGCTCCACTACTCCGGAAATGCACAAAAGACAATAATCATCGCGATGTATCTTTCCTCGTTCTGGCGGAAGATTCACTCTAGTTTTGCACATTTCGAGAGTGGTGGAGCGAGGCCCATACAGCGAGATGATCGCCGAGATCCAATCCACCAGCGTAGTAAGAGAAAGGAACGGGAGGGTGACTCACACACACACACACACACACACACACACACACACACAGAGAGAGAGACACACACACACACACACACACACACACACACACACACACACACACACACAGAGAGAGAGAGAGAGAGAGAGAGAGAGAGAGAGAGAGAGAGAGAGAGAGAGAGAGAGARAGAGAGAGAGAGAGAGAGAGAGAGAGAGAGAGAGACGGGATGCAGTACATAAGTGGTAGATGAGAATTGATGTGAAAACCGTGGAGGATACAACTTGCCTTGGTCGTGACAAGAGCACCGGTGCTGTCGATTTCCTGAGACTTGGTGAGACAGACTTCGCTCTACGGAGTCTACGAGGTGCGCTGTCCAGCAGGTTGACGATGATTGTTTCTTGCCCCTGAAGTCTTCCGTTAGCAGCCGTTTGTCTTTGCCGCCTCGTCGAGGGGGTGAACGCGAACTCTGCCATGACCTCCCCGTTTCAGTGTTTTCATCTTCGTTTCTGTTTCGTTCTCGTCCACCGGCCATAATTGTATATATAATCCTTCAATCGTATTCGTCCGCTCTTTGCTCGTAGCGCCACCGTGACGCATTCCTCCAATCGTATTTCCGTTTAAGAAAGAGCTTATTCAAACATCTTTCCGTTTCCCACCGTTTGCATCACTCCCTTCTCTTTCCTGTTTCTCTCTCCCAGCTCTTTTCGGCCACGCTTCCACTGTCGCCGAACCCCCACCTACCGTCTCCAACCGCCTCCCACGGTTTCTCCCACCCTTTCTCCCACCGTTTCTAACCGCCTCCGTTTTCGAACGCGTCTCCACCGTTTCCCACCGTTTCCCGCCGTTCCCACTGCAGTCGTCTAAGATAGTTCTCCCCGTTTCAGCTCTTTCCGTTGTCTCGGCACTTCCTGGGTCGAGGTCCCACTAGCAAAGAGGATTGGATTGAGCTCCTGAATCTGGATGTGTTTTATTCACAGATGCAGAAATGCAGTTCAATTTCGATTTCTGCACCTCTCCACAAAATCCTCCAGATTCAGGCATTCAATCCAATCCTCTTTGCTAGTGGGACCTCGCCCCTAGCGGAATACGACGATCCATTCTGGACAAGCGATCGACGTGTACTTCGTTGAGGTTCGTTTCTGGCGTCCTCTTCTCTTCTGTTTTTGCCCCACCCAGTTCACTACTCTTGCGTTTATTATTATTATTATTATTTTTTTTTAATTTTTTTTTTTTTTTTTTTCCTGGTT